AGTGAACTGCTTGCCACTAACCACAGTGAACTGCTTGCCACTAACCACAGTGCTTCATTATAAGGCTGTTAAATCTATCCTGGATTATTAATTAACCCTTATGCTTAATCGTCTTAATAAATCTTTGTTTTAACCAAACTTTGATATAAAGAGACGTCATGTACGCTTATTAAAAGAAACGAAATCGGACGAAAAAAATTCCGTACCTTAACTTAGTTCGTAAGAGAAAACGGAGAAAGTCTTGACGAGGGTCAGGGGACACTAAAATAATAATAATAATGGAACTATATCACACTGCTCGAGTTTTTAGGGTTATCATAGATAATTACACATTTATTAATGCGCAAGTGTGACAAATGAGTGTGACACTACTACCCAAGACTATAACCCCTCCCGGTAGATCATCAGATGCAGCATTCTCCACCTGACCTCAACATTCTGAACCTGACTATAAATACTCCCGTACCTTCTACCCCAGGTAGATCTGTGTGTGACTTGAAAAAGCCCACTGTGCGGGGGAAACGTCAATAAAGGATCACATTAAACTGCATATGTGTTTATGTTTCCAAATGAATGTGTAATTGTACCAGATTAACTTAGAGAAAAACAAATCGCAAGTCTGTGGACAATTCAGAGCTGGTAAATATTGTGTTACGGGAGGGTTACGGGAGTTATTTCTTGAGTAGCTTTAGGTAGTAGTCGTTTTGATAAGGACCTGCCTCGTATGGGCCAGTAGGCCTTCTGCAGTGTTCCTACATTCTTATGTTCTTATGTTACCTAACAACCTGTCGGTATTTTATACCATTTTAATGTTCAATCTGTCAGACACTGCAACACAAGGGTATCTTGGTACAGACCTGCAATCAACTTGTACCTAACAACCTGTCGGTATTTTATACCATTTTAATCCTTATGTTGATAAATTAGACACATATACAACTCTTGGGAATCGTCATTGAGGAAACGTTTCGCCACACAGTGGCTTCATCAGTCCATACGAAGGAGAAACTTGAAGAACAGGAGGAGAATGAGGTAATCAGTCCCTCAACCTTGAGTCGATGTGTTCAGTCCATCAATCTTGAGTAGAATACGGCATATGAGCGGAGAAGCAGCTTATAAACCGTATGGCAGGAGAGGTGCAGCAGTCATAGGTCGTGTCACATTTGTTCAATGTGGAAGTAGGTCGTGCCCAAGAATTAGGCAAGCGAAGAATTCCTAAGTATTAAGATCCTAAGAAGTTGCAGTGTCTGACAGGTTTGTAGATGAATGGTTCAGAGAACCGACATGTTGATAAATTAGACACATATACAAGAGTTGTATATGTGTCTAATTTATCAACATGTCGGTTCTCTGAACCATTCATCTACAAATCCTTATGTTCTTATGTTCTTATTTGTGTTTATACACTGGCCTGTCAGGTTTACAACTCATTTCCATGGGTTTAAACTCCACCCGTCCCATGATTTTCTTATTTTCCGTAATAAAAAATAAGTATGCTCTTTATTGTATAAGCATTCTTGCTTGCTTGCTTGAGGATGGCCAGTATGGCCGGCCAGGGTCTTTACTAGTGAGTGACCCGGCCTTGGTTCCCCATTTGCTGCCCCACGGGGCTCGTAGGGAGCAGCTAGGACTCTGACTTAGCCACCCAGGATAATGTTCACCCAGGATAACTTGGGGTAGGGGGGGTTAGTAAGTTTATTCAGGTATACACAAATACAGTTACATAGATTATCATACATAGCAGCATGTGTAGAGAACCTGGGACAACTCAAAAAGGTCAGACAGAGTGACTTATTTTCATTGGGGTCATTAGCCACCCAGGATAACCCAAGAAAGTCAGTGTGTCATCGAGGACTGTCTTATTTTCATTGTGGTCTGACTTCAGTCTTGTCCCCCAGGATGCCACCCACACCAGATGACTAACACCCAGGTACCTACTTACTGCTAGGTGAACAGGGATAGCAGGTATAAGGAAACATGCCCAACGTTTTGATTTTTGCTGGGGACTGAACCACGGACACTCTGTGCGTGAGGCGAGTGCGTTGTCAAACGAGCCACGGGACCTGCATGGAAGGCTCGAAGTTCATCAGTAACAAGACCAAACTATACCACCTCTCCAGCAGCAGCTTCAATAAGTTTAAAAATGGCTCCACTGCGAACCTGCCTCCTCAGTTACTCCTGTAACTAGCACCTGTGTCTTCCATTGCAGACACTGCAAGGCTCCAGGCGGACATCAACCAAATCTTTCAGTGGGCTGCAGAAAACAATATGAAGTTCAACGATGAGAAATTTCAATTACTCAGATATGGTAAACACGAGGAAATTAAATCTTCATCAGAGTACAAAACAAATTCTGGCCACAAAATAGAACGAAACACCAACGTCAAAGACCTGGGAGTGATCATGTCGGAGGATCTCACATTCAAGGACCATAACATTGTATCAATCGCAATCTGCTAGAAAAAATGACAGGATGGATAATGAGAACCTTCAAAACTAGGGAGGCCAAGCCCATGATGACACTCTTCAGGTCACTTGTTCTATCTAGGCTGGAATATTGCTGCACACTAACAGCACCTTTCAAGGCAGGTGAAATTGCCGACCTAGAAAATGTACAGAGAACTTTCACGGCGCGCATAACGGAGATAAAACACCTCAATTACTGGGAGCGCTTGAGGTTCCTAAACCTGTATTCCCTGGAACGCAGGCGGGAGAGATACATGATTATATACACCTGGAAAATCCTAGAGGGACTAGTACCGAACTTGCACACGAAAATCACTCACTACGAAAGCAAAAGACTTGGCAGACGATGCAACATCCCCCCAATGAAAAGCAGGGGTGTCACTAGCACGTTAAGAGACCATACAATAAGTGTCAGGGGCCCGAGACTGTTCAACTGCCTCCCAGCATACATAAGGGGGATTACCAACAGACCCCTGGCAGTCTTCAAGCTGGCACTGGACAAGCACCTAAAGTCGGTTCCTGACCAGCCGGGCTGTGGCTCGTACGTTGGTTTGCGTGCAGCCAACAGTAACAGCCTGGTTGATCAGGCTCTGATCCACCAGGTCGTCTGGTCACAGACCGGGCCGCGGGGGCGTTGACCCCCGGAACTCTCTCCAGGTAAACTCCAGGTATACTGTGTGCTGCCTCCGATATTCCTACCTGCCTACGAACTGCCAGTTTCTCAAGACCGAAGACCTCAACTACCACGTCCCACGAGCGCCTAGCAGCTATTCTTTGCCTAAATCAAATCAAATCATATTATAGGACATTGTGTGGTTGACATATTATTATTATTATAATCAAACCAAACAAACCAATTATCGCACCTAGCATGACTAGGCATTTCGGGTAGACTAAGATTAATTCAAAACTCAAAATTGGTACAGATTATGGAACATATTGGTATTAAGGCAAATTAACTGCATTGCAGTTCGTAAATTTAGCACTGTGAATAGTTTTGTCTTGGTACAATATTGGAGTATCACAGGCAAACTTATGACTGGTTAAGATTCATTAGGTAATAGATGTGAAATAAATGGTATTAAATACCGACACAGTGGAAATATAAACACATATGCAGTATAATGTGATCCTTTATTGACAACGTTTCACCCACACAGTGGGTGTGACTTGAAAAAGCCCACTGTGTGGGTGAAACGTTGTGATGAATGGTTTGAAAAACCGACAAGTTGAAGATTGAGACACTTATGCAGCATATGGGAATCTTTATTCAGGAAACGTTTCGCCACACAGTGGCTTCATCAGTCCATACAAAGAGGAAGGCGTAAGGAGAGGAGGAGTATGAGGTAATCAGTCCCTCGGCCTGGAGTCGATGTGTTCAGTCCATCAATAATGGATCACATTATACTGCATGTGTGTTTATATTTCCAGGTAATAGATGTATTACGTATTTCTGTTTATAGTCAATTGGATGAGTGTAAGTGCGAATTGTGGGGAATCACAGATATCAAGGTTGTTTTTGTGTGTGTATGATACAACAGAATAGGTGGATTTCATGTAGTTAGCTGACGCTGGGGTGTGTCAGGGAGATGTTTTCTAACGGCAGTTTTGAAAGTGATGGTTGTGTCTGCAATTCTAGAGTTTTCAGGTAGGGAGTTCCAGATTTTAGGCCATTTTATGTACATTGAATTTTTGTATAGGTTTAGCCGGACACGGGGAATGTTTATAGGGATGTTTGTGTCTGGTGTTAGGCCTGTGAGTCCTGTCACAACTATCAAGAAAGTGTTTGAGGTCAGGGTTAATACTGGAATTCAAGATCCTGTAAATGTAGGTTGTGCATTAAAATGGTATAAAATACCGACAGGTTGTTAGGTAAGACACATATGCAACAGTTAGGTATCTTTATTATGAAACGTTTCGCCTACACAGTAGGCTTCTTCAGTCAAGTACAGAAAAGTTGATAGAAGCAGAAGATACTTGAAGACGATGTAATCAGTCCATCACCCTTAAAGTTTTGAGGTGGTCAGTCCCTCAGTCTGGAGAAGAGCATTGTTCCATAGTATGAAACAATATGTTTCATATTGTTTCATAGTACTGAGGGACTGACCACCTCAAAACTTTAAGGGTGATGGACTGATTACATCGTCTTCAAGTATCTTCTGCTTCTATCAACTTTTCTGTACTTGACTGAAGAAGCCTACTGTGTAGGCGAAACGTTTCATAATAAAGATACCTAACTGTTGCATATGTGTCTTACCTAACAAATGTAGGTTGTACAATAGTAAGTGTGGATGTTCTGGACAGTAAGTTTACATTTATGGAGAGTGGGGGGAGGGAGGTGTTGCCTGGGATTGGATTGTGTGATTATTCTTACTGGACCTCACATGGGACCTTAAACTCTCTTGAATTCTGTACTAACCTAGTTAGGTCGAGTCACAGCTGTATTTCACCGAAATACAGGCGAAATTCACATCAACTTGTCGGTACTGTTTACCATTATCACCCACGTAAACATCAGAAATAAAACAACGTACTAAACATCATTATATATTTTTTGTTATTACATAACTTATCAGCTGTGGTTTAGATTTCCTATTCTGGATTGTTTTAGTTATTATTAATACTATGATTATAAATGAAGCTAATAGTAATATTGGTACTAGAATTGACGCCTTCGTTAGATGCGAAGCTGTATGTGACATATATATGGTGACAGATGAGTTACTGACTGCGTCAGGTGTGGTTGACATATATGTAGTGGAAGATGAATTGTCTTCTTCAGGTGTGGTTGACATATATGTAGTGGAAGATGAATTCTCTTCTTCAGGTGTGGTTGACATATATGTAGTGGAAGTTGAATTATTGTCTTCTTCAGGTGTGGTTGACATATATGTAGTAAAGGTCGAGTCGTTGTCTTCTTCAGATGACACATATGTTGTAGTTGAATTACTCATTTCCTCAGGTGTAGGTGACGTATATATAGATGAGTAACTGTCTTCCATAAGTGTAGGTGACACATATGTACTTAATGACGTGGTGTCTCCTTCAGGTGTAAGTGACATATATGTTGTAAGAGACGAGTTATCTTTCCCATGTGTGAGTGGCATATGTTTTAAACGATATAGGTCAATTTCCTCACCAGGTGTAAGTGGCATATGTTTGGGACGATGTGAGATATTTTCTTCATTTGGTGGCATGTATTTCAGACTTGGATTACTTTCTTGACTAGTCGACTGCGGCATATATTTACCACTAGATAGAATACTTGCTTCCACAATGTTTGGTGACTCTTGAAGAAGCAGGTCAGGCAGGTACTTGGCTCCAGGCATCACAGATTCTGTGAACGAAACAATACTGTGAATTATAATGTACCATGTTAGAAAAGTGCATGAAATAAGTGCGCAGACAGTGTCTGCTTCGTGTCCACATTGTTTCGATTCGGAGAAGTGGCTTATAAGCCATTCACTGTCTTCTCTGTTGAGGGACGACCATGGAGCTCGTCTCAGTAATTAGATTACAATCAAGGAAGCTTTCGACACTGACTCCTTTAGTAAGGAAGAGGCAGATGAACTAGTAACCACTGTGATGTTGTTCAAGAGACTTGAACGTTAAATTGCATATGCACTGGGTTGTTGGAATGGAGTCCAGGAAGTGTCGACAACTACACTGGTAACAGAGCAACAACACATGTCGGTTAATTTACCTTCAGGCAAGAAACTCGAGGGTTTGGGGGGCTCGGGTCTGCAGACAACGAGGGCGACCCCCGTCAGGAGCAGCAAAGAAACTGACATGTTGATCCTTGAGCACAGTGTTTCTGAGTCCTATATAATTAGCCTACGTCGCCGCTTTATATAGTCTTCGCAGGCCATACAATTATGACAGGTCCCACTAGATGGATGTGCGATGAGAGGTAGTCACATGAACTCCGTCCCGATGATAACAGGAATTATATGCCCGTCCTTCTCTAACACAACCCTTCTCACTATTTTTAAAGCTGATCAGAGTTTTACTCTGTCTTGAATGACTATTTGGCTGATGTATAGGAGACATGTAAATCAGATGCTCAGGATCTGTAAATGTGTGTACAGGTCACCACTAAGCTCCTCTTTCAGCTGCTGGTACAGTTGGTAGATAAGACACATAGGTAACATTTAGGCAACTTTATTCCGAAACGTTTCGCCTACACAGTAGGCTTCTTCAGTCGAGTTGGACTGAACACATCAGCTCCAGGTTGAGGGACTGATTACCTCATTCTCCTCCTCTCCTTATGCCTTCCTCTTTGTATTGGACTGAAGAAGCCACTGTGTGGCGAAACGTTTCCTGAATAAAGATTCCCATATGCTGCATAAGTGTCTCAATCTTCAACGAGTACAGAAAAGTTGATAGAAGCAGAAGAGACTTGAAGACGATGTAATCAGTCCATCACCCTTAGTTCCATTACTACTACTACTGATTGAACATTAAAATGGTATAAAATACCGACAGGTTGTTAGGTAAGACACATATGCAACAGTTAGGTATCTTTATTATGAAACGTTTCGCCTACACAGTAGGCTTCTTCAGTCAAGTACAGAAAAGTTGATTGAAGCAGAAGATACTTGAAGACGATGTAATCAGTCCATCACCCTTAAAGTTTTGAGGTGGTCAGTCCCTCAGTCTGGAGAAGAGCATTGTTCCATAGTATGAAACAATATGAGGGACTGACCACCTCAAAACTTTAAGGGTGATGGACTGATTACATCGTCTTCAAGTATCTTCTGCTTCAATCAACTTTTCTGTACTTGACTGAAGAAGCCTACTGTGTAGCGAAACGTTTCATAATAAAGATACCTAACTGTTGCATATGTGTCTTACCTAACACACTACTACTACTACTACTACTACCACCTCTACCCACGCGTCACCTCACCTGATTCCTGCCATTATAATATATATATATATATATATATATATATAAAATATATATATATATAATATATATATATATATATATATATATATATATGTTTTCTTAGTTTTCTCTGTATTAGGACTGAAGAAGTCCCTCGTTTGTGTGCTCTCTGTGATCTGAACCAGGATGCCCTCTCTTGAGCAGCTTTACCAGCAGCTGAGAGAAGAACTCAGAGTTGCTAAACGGGAGATATGGCGATTAACGGAGGAGAACAAGAGGATTCGTAGTAATCCTCCTGTTGTGAGTCCCCAGGTTAAGAGGGGAGCTTGGCCCAGGGGCCCGGGGCAACAGGGAACCAAGCTGAAGATCAAGAAAACGGTTGGAGAGGGGGAAACAACGAGAAACCAGAAGACTACCGTGGAAACTTCCAACTCTTCTCGGTGCTACCTGACAATGTGAGTGTCCTGCTGGGAATGCCACAACGAGCACCAAAGAAGCATTGGCAGACGTGAGAAGACATCCCTAATACCCCAACGAAGACCATCGAGAACGCCCTTACGAATTCTACAATTGGTGAAATTTGCTAACCTGGCGAATGTGAGTCGACTACTCGGAGCATCACGACGGACGACGCCAAGGAAGGTAAAAACATTGTTGTTGTTGGGGATAGCCAATTAGGTACATGGAAGGGCATTCTGTTTAAAGGGATAGGAGTAGGGGGCAGAGAGTGTTTTTTCCTGGGGCTGGGATGAAGGATATTGTTAGCCTCTGGATGACATCATGAGAGGAAATGGAGCAATCCTATTATCTGTCTCAGTGCTGGAGGCAACGATGTTGGCGGGACATGGGAGGGAGGACCTGATTAGCAGGTATAGGTCAGCAATAGAGATAATTAGGAGGAAGGGTGGGAAACCTGTCATATGTGGCATTTTGCCAAGGAGAGGAGTTGGAAATGAAGGGTTTTGTCCAGACAATTGGTGTCAATTGCTGGCTGGACAAGTACTGAAAGGGAAAAATGGGGGAAACATTCTTTGACAACTGGGACCTCTTCTATGGCAGAAATGACAATGTATGCCAGGGATGGGGTTCACTTATCTAGTTGTGGGGTGGGACACTGGCCAACGCAGTGGAGGGAGCTGTTAGGTCTTTAAACTAGGAATAGTTAGTGGTATGGGTTTTTGGCGGGAAAACTGTGAAGTCGCGGGGTAGTAACATGAGTACTAGGAGAACTAGTAATAGGCAAATGAAGTGGATATTGAAAGCCAGTGGCACTAATTGACAAGGACAGAAAATAATTTAGTGGAATAACAGAAAGGAGCAGGAAGGGTAAAGAGAGTGGGGGGTCCTTAAGTATATATTACACAAATAGTCGCAGTGCTGGGAATAAGATGGACGAGTTGAGACTAGTTGCTATGCAGGTAACATAGATGTATTTGCCATTACGAGACGGGGGTTTTTAATTCAAAAAGTCGGGACATGCCTGCAGAATTGTCACATTCAGGGTTTTAAATTGTTCCAAGTAGATAGAAGTATCGGGAAGGGGGTGGGGTGGCATGATGTCCGAGATCGCTTGAACTGTTGCATAAAAAGGGGTTATTAAGTCTGAAGTAACACAACAGAGTCTGTTTGGATAGAATTTTCAGAGGGGCAGAAAAATTAATTTTAGGTGTGAATACCGTCCCCCAAATTTAGATAGGGACCAAGGGAGACTACTATGGGAGGAATTGTTAGGGCCACAAGGCACGATAATGTATAATTCTAGGAGACTTTAACTTTAGTCATATTGATTGAATTTCTTGACTGGGAATTTAGAATCAAAACGATTTCTTAGAAGTAGTTCAGGATTGTTTTTTGAAGCATTTGTGACAGAACCTACAAGGGGAAATAACCTGCTTGACTTAGTTCTGGCAAACAATGAATCCCTTGTTAATAATTTAGAAGTTTCAGAGGAACGGGGTGCTAGCGACCACAAATCAATTACATTTAGAATTGAATGGAAGTATGATAGTAGGGATAACTCAGTAACAGTCCCAATTTTCGCTTAGCAGATTACGATGGCTTAGAGAACACTTATCATCTTTTGACTGGGGTAACGAAGAGAGCTATAAATATGACATTTTTTCTGAACACAATACATGCTGCTCAAAGAACGTTTATCCCTTATAAGGAAATTAGATCAAATAGAAATGACCCAAAATGGATAATAATAGGCTGAAATATCTACTAGGGCATAAAAAAGGAATTTATAGGCGTACAAAAGGGGCGAGGGTCATCTTATGAATCAGTATATTGACATTAAGAGGGACATTAAAAAGGGGATAAGAAAAGCTAAAAGGACTATGAAATTAAAGTTGCTAGGGATTCTAAAACTAACCCAAAAAGTTTTTTCCAGGTAAAATAGAACAAAAGTCAGAGATAAGATAGGTCCCCTTAAAAAAACTATGGGCATCTTACTGACAAAGAGAATGAAATGTGCTGGATTTTAAATAATTATTTTCTCTCTTTTTTTACACAGGAAGACACTAATAATATTCCGGTAATTATTTTTATAGTGGATCAGAAGAAGATAAATTATGAAACCATCACAGTCACTAGTGAAATGGTTGTAAAGCAGATAGACCGACTGAAGCAAAATAAGTCACCGGGTCCTGATGAGGTTTTTTCAAGGGTTCTTAAGGAATGCAAAATGGAAGTCTGTGAAACCATTAACTAATATTTTTAATTTATCTCTTCAAACAGGTAAGTGTCTGATATGTGGAAGATGGCGAATGTAATTCCTATTTTTAAAAACGGGGGACAAGTCGTTACCGTCAATTTACCGCCCAATAAGCCTGACCTCAATTGTAGGCAAATTACTAGAGTAAATTTATAGCTGAGATTATAAGAAGCCATCTCGATAAGCATAGCCTGATTAATGATACTCAGCATGGATCACAAGAGGCCGGTCTTGTCTAACTAATTTATTAACTTTCTTCAGTAAAGCTTTTGGGGCTGTTGACCATGATAAAGAATTTGATATTATTTACTTAGATTTTAGTAAGGCATTTGATAGAGTTCCGCACCAAAGACTGTTTGAAGAAAGTAGCAGCTCATGGCATTGGGGGAAGGGTGCTCTCGTGGATCGAGTCATGGCTCACAGACAGGAAGCAGAGAGTGTCCATAAATGGGGTTAAATCCGAGTGGGGATCAGTTACAAGTGGCGTTCCACAGGGATCAGTCTTGGGCCCGTTGTTGTTTATAATATATATCAAAGATCTTGATGAAGGAATTACTAGTGATATAGCAAATTCGCTGATACACGAAGATAGGTAGGATAATTGATTTAAACGTAGATGTTAGGGGAAATTCAGGAGGATTTAGACAAACTTTACTCTTGGTCAGAAAATGGCAGATGCAGTTCAATGTAGAAAATGCAAGGTTCTGAAGCTCGGGAGTGTCCATAACCC